TGAATTGAATTGAATTGAATCTTGCACTTGGCACTTAAGAGGCTCCCCTCTACGTGCTTTCGCTCTCACAGCGGTCTGACAGGTTAAGGAGTCGGTGTCTAAACATTATTGACTTAGGGTCGTAAATATTTTCAAACGTGCTACAATTGGGGAAAATCAGAACAAGTGTTTCACCTGCATCTCTGCCCGCATCTTGCATAGGCTATGGCTGAGCTGCCCCACCCCTGGGCTTTGGATGTCGTATTTAGATTTAAACATACGACATGAGTTTCGATATAAGTGGTAAGTTCTGAATAAACTCACCTAACTAGAAACCTCTTCAGGCACCTGTTAACCTCTGCCCGGAATCTTACTGCACTTGGCACTGCGGTTACAAGAGGAAGAAGCTGAGCTGTCTCCCCTCTAAAAAGGCTCGTAATTATTTTTAATCGTGCTACAGTTGGAGAAAAATCAGACTTGTCCGGACTTGTCCGGTGTGAGGAAGAACCAACGAAAGTTTCACCTGCTGTTAAAAGCTCGCTGTCGCTGCTGTCACCATCTTTCTCTTTTTGCCTGAAAAGCTTTCTTTGCTCCCCTCAAGGTCCCCCCCGCCTGCTCTCGACACTGTCTGTCCGCATCTGGCTGGGAGAAGAGGCGGAGCTGAGCCACCCCTCGGCTTTTTCGCATACAACCCTGCACCAAAGACTTTAGAGACGGACGAAAGTTTCGCAGTCGGCGTGTAAACACGAGGCCGAATTTAGACTCAAACAGACGAGATGTGTTTCAATATAATGAATGATATAGCATTTAGTAAGTAGTAAATTCTGAATAATAATATCTCTAGTTACTCACAGCTTGAAGCAACGGGAAGAGATAACAGCACACACCTCAAATATTAGAGGTTAGTTGTGGGGAAAATCATGGCATTGTTTATGTAAGAGATAATGCCGGAGGAAGTGCTCATTATCAGAAATGTCCGGACTTGTCCGGTGTCACCGTCTCTCACTCCATCGTTCTCTTTTTAGCCTCTCTTTCTTTTCTCCACTTAAGGTTCCCCCACTGGTTTCGGACACTCCCTAACCGCATCCCTTGCAATGATTCATCTTGCACCGCGAGGACAAGAAGCTGAGCTATGGAGCTGCCCCATCCCCTGTATCAGCTTTTATCATCTGCCTGTAGCGAAAAAACTGACCCTGCACCGAAAACGTCAAAGACGAAAGTTTCGCAGTCGGCGTGTAAACACGCGGTTGTATTTAGATTTTAACATACGAGATGTGTTTCTATATAATGAATAATATAGCATTTAGTAAGCAGTAAGTTCTGAATAAACTCACCCAACTCGAAACCTCTTCAGGCACCTGCAGCTTGAGGCTACGGGAACTGAAGAGATAAGTGTTATAGAAGTAGGGTGGGGCAAATCATGGTATTGTAAGATATAAGTTTCCCACTAACAGTTTATACAGCATGACTCTCATGCAAACATTGAATCTAATGCTTCTTTAAAGTCAACAAGAAATTTGCTTTTGTTTATTTTGTTTGTTTTGTTTTTTATGTGTATGGACACTTGCAGCCTGAAGTAGGAAGTTAAATATCAGATGAGACGTGAGATGATGGGAAACCTCATGATGGAAAGCATGAAATTAAGTAAGACCTGTTTGACAGCACTGCATGGCATCGAAAACCACCAAAATATAAATGTAAACACAGGAAACACGCTTTGCATATTATATTAGGCAGTAGCCTAACTGCCAACCTGCAGAGATGACAGGGGAATTACAATGGAGTCTTTCTTCACCTTCTGAAATACCTGTCATTTGTGACAATTGTATTTTAACTGATTGATCTCTGATTAATCTAACAATTCACACTCTCCTTCGTTTGTGAAGATTCACCTAAGAGCAAGTCATCACTTCAGGACACATTTAACAAAAAAAGTCTAATAGAAATATATTGAAAATATGCTTTGCAGATTATGAGTTGAAGCATTTTGCATGTAATGACTTGAATGCAATTCACTAACGCCTAAATGTCCTGGGGCTAACAGAGACCCATTATAATACATTTTGATCAACATGACATAAGCAATTGATAATGTAGGAAACAACATACAATAATCGTTGGCATGAATGTGCCAAAGCAATTAACTATAAGATTAAACAGATAAGAAGAAAAATAAGTCAGTCATCTAGAATCATCCTACAAGCTGCTATTTGCACATTATTTAATTATACACACTACTAATGGTGTCTACTGTTCTCCCAAATTATGTTTATATTCTGCACACTTTTGGGGTTTTGGGCTATTTGAAATATTTTGGGAACAATGACTGTGTGTGTAGTCATCGTTCTGTTGTACTAAGAATGTGATTGTATTTTAACTGGTTGGTGACTGATTGATCTAACAATTCACATATTCCCCTTCATTTTTTTTTTTTTTTTAACTGCAGCCTGAAGTAGGAAGTTAAATATCAGATGAGATGTGAGATGATGGCTTACGCAAAGTATCAGTAAGTTCAAAGTGTTACAGATTTTGTTTTCATTTAATTTTACGTTCATTTAGAACAGACTTAAACTAGGTATCCTACATCAGGAATTAATGGACACCCTGCAGCCTATCAGAATCGAGTATTCACCCAGACCATGGTATATAAAGGTGCTATGGTACATTTTTCGAATCATCCATAACATTTCTCTAAACAAATCATTCAAACAGCACCACACAATGTATTTATTGCCTGCAAAAACCTTTTCAAATATCTAAATTCAGAGTTTATCTCTGAAAAGTAGCATAAATGTTTATGTCAAACTTCATGATGGAAAGCCCGAAATTAAATAAGATCATAAAAAGGTTTAAAGAAAGGGCACCAGTGCACATAAAGTTGTGATACATTATTGTAAAACAGCTTAGTCATGGTTAGGATTATAACTTTACCCCCCTGTCCCCTCCCTTGCAATGCAGCGCAGAAAGAATCTGTTGAAATGGTATCCAGCCTCTGCAGGCGTCTGTTGTGATGTCCTTACATGTGGCAGCCACCAGGGTCATCTGAGAATGTGGCCAACGATTGTATTATAACTGGTTGATCACTGATTAATCTAACAATTCACACATTCCTCTTCATTTGTGAGAGTCAGATTCAACTAAGAGCAGGTCATCACTTCAGGACACATTTACAAAAAAAGGGAAATATATTGAAAATATGCTTTGCAGATTATGAGTTGAAGCATTTTGCATGTAATGACTTGAACGCAATTAACTAATGCCTAAATGTTCTGGGGGTAACATAGAACCAGTATAATACATTTGGATTAACATGATGAAGAAATTGATAATGTAGGAAACAACATACAATAATCGTTTGCATGAATGTGCCAAAGCAATTAACTATAAGATTGAACAGATAAGAAGAAAAATAGTCTACAATCTACTATAATTTCAGTCAGGTGCACATTATTTAATTATACGCAATACTAATGGTTGAGTTTGCTATACTGTTCTCCCAGATTTAGTTCATATTCTGCACAGGTTGGGGTTTTGGGCTATTTGTGATATTTTGGGAACAATGACTGTGTGTGTGTAGTCATCGTTCTGTTGTACTCACTAACATTTCCCTAATTTTAATCACATTGACAAGTGACAGTCCCAAGCACGCTGACTGGGTCGAATATTGTACATGTCTTTGTTTTGTGTTTTTTAGGTCAAATGTCCGGCAAAGTAGTTGTAAGTTAAAAAATTAACTATAACGTATATGAATTAGTCCTATCACCGTAGTAACTTTCTATTATTATTTTGTTTAATCTCCTAAGAAAATTGAAAGAACATAATCACTAGAAATAGCATAAAAATATACAATTCAACACTGGATCTACAGAACTCCAACCTTGATGCATAAGATCTAAGAGGCCTAAACATACTGTAGGTAACACCTTATTCTGACCAACTAGACAGACAGAAGGAACAGACCAAAAGAAAGAAAAATGCCAACAATGGAATCCAGCATAAACAAGCACATGTAAACCAATCAATCTTTAAACATTCATTCACAGTTTGGCACAAAAGGAAATAATACATTTCATGATCCTTCATTGTGGGAAATTGCCCATATGTTGTAAAAAACATATTATATTATAATGTGAGAGATTATCTTCAGAGATTCGGAAAAGGTTGCTGAATCCTTTAATATCTTTGATGTGGAAAAAGCATTCAGGAAAAAAGTCTGTATTTAAAAGAGGAAATACGAAGAATGTCCATTGCTGTTGTTCTTCTGGTTGCCAGTATTTTAAGAAGGGCTGCTGAAGGGTTTGATGAGACCAAGATCCATAGCTTTGACCAGGCACAAGCGAGCTGCATCGATGGCATCCTGCCTCTTGGGATTGTCCGCCGCCTTGCCAATCACTGAGAGGATTTCCAGCATCTCACTTTCAATTAGCTTCTTGGATAGCTCACTGTTGTCTGAGTTGAGCAAGTTGTAGACAATCACAAGGGCGCGGTGCTGTATACTGGGGTTGGTGTGGATACACAACCTTTGCAGGATCTCAAGCCACTGGGTGGTCTGTTGGGAAACATCAGTCACACAGTCAGTAACAATGGATTTTTTTGAACACTTGTAGTTCTGAACAGTGAAAGGGTGATTGTGTTATTGTGCAGCACAGCAAATGTTTTGTTTCATTTTAAAGGCGTTCTCTATGTAACAAAAAATATCAGCAGATAAGTGATAACAGAGAGCCTGTTATGGATTTGGAATAAGAAAGACATGGGGATTTGTCTGTCAAAGAGGGAAAAATATGGTATTGAATTGTATAATGGCATGCGCAGCATCCATTGTTTTTCAAGGCAGACTAGTAGAGACTCAAAGTCAGGATATCTCAACCTCTGCTGCCTCCATTTCTTAATATGTCTTTCACAAGTCTCTTTTTAAACAACTTTATAGAAGTGAAATACTAAATCATTACAGTACCAATCAGAGATGTAATGGTAATGTAACAATTTGAAATTCTAACAGTGTCACAAAAGGTAAGTATTACAGATTAACGCTATAATGATTTTGTAATATTACAAATATAAATTCAAAAATTAATTAATTAAAATGTGAAATGCATTCAGTGGCACAAACAGTGACACGTGGCACACCAAGGTAACTCTTTTAGTAGAGATATGGCAACAGCAAATGCCGTGAGCTGCACTGTAGTTAGGCATTACGAAGGGCTGGTAGGTGTATCACACAGAGCCATGTTGTGTTACATGCCATTTTTCATAATGGGACACATGTGATTTTACAACAGACTTTGTGACACAATAATTCATATTCACAGTTCAAACATTATTGAATGCTGCTGCACATACCACTTGGGTCAGTTTGGTACAGAGCTTCTCCCGAGCAGCAGTGAGCATGGCCAGAGCTCCAGCTGCAGCCAACTGAAGATTGTCGTCATCTTCACCACACAGCAGCACCAGAAGCTTCAGCTTATCATTGCCATCTTGCAGGTAACGATCTTGGACCTGAATCACACAGTTGAAATTTTCAATGTAGCTACACTTGTTGGACATATAATGCACATGTTGACTCTGTGTCGTCTGCTATTATGTGAAGTATTAGCTGCTTGTCTGTTCTCACCTCTTTACATGTAACAAGGTTGCACATGCATTCAGTGGCAGCCTGTCTGATCTGGTCATTCTCCTCAAACATGTAGTTCTCAATTTCTGGCAAAGCCTTCTCTTTCACAATCTTCACTCTACAGAAGATAAAAAACCACAATAAGCACTGCAAGCTGCAATTAAGTCACTTGCAGGAAATGTGACCATAATACGTCATGCAAGATGTTACCTTAGTTTTTCACTGAAACCAGCTAAGTTGGTGAGGCTTCTCAGAGCTTCATAGTTCTGCATTCCATCTCTGTCGGTTTGAAGGAGGCTAACTAACGGTCGTACCACCTCATACACCTGTTAAACAAGAAAGACAGAGAATTTAATTTAAAAGTCCTATTATGAGGTAAACACCAAATCAGCAGAGGTATATTGAATTCTAAAAGAGAGGAACAAATAAGATTGGACCAGCAGTACCAGTCTGCACAAGCAGAAACACTGAATGAAATAAATGTATTTATTCAATGTCTAAAGTAAAAAGAGTGAAGAGTCTGTAGTCAAGGGCAGAATGGGGTACCTCGGTACATCTCCAATTGCCATTGCTTATAATCTGCTTCAAGACTGCTCTTTATAGAAATAAACAAAACAGCCAATGTCTTACCCTCTCACCAGGAAATGCAATTTCTGGGTTGGAAATAGATGCAATCTTGGCAAGGGAGTGGCTGGCCTTCACCTTTCCAGCCTCGGTCCCTTCCAGTGCAAGTGGTATCAAAGCCTGAAAGCAGACCGAGAATATCAGTAGTAAACAACAGTAATTTGCAACAACCAGTTTGTCTAGTTAATTTTTGAAAAGATCTTTCCTTTACAAGTGACACATCCACAAGTGTATCACTCACCTTTCCCCCGCCCTGGGCTACAATTATACCACGATCTTTGGGATCCTGTGACAATGCCAAGAAAACCCTAAGATAAAAAATAGAAAATATAATGCATTTAAGGAGGAATAAACAAGAAATTGGATGTATAAATTTGTGTTTTAGCTTGCATTCCCTCCCTTGTAATGGCACATTTAAAAATCATTCTCTGTAGGGTAACTTTCAGGTGATTCATGACGTGGTAATGAGTCATATGTTTCCCTAGAACACGACATCGTCACTTCCAGATTTTGATGCTTGTACCATAACACCTCTACTTACTTTGTACATGAGCTTGACAGTTGTGTATTGTTTTCAGTTAGTGCTTCAGTGTGCAAATAATTTTAGGTTGTATTAATGTATTATATGTGCTGATTTTAGCTCAAAAACAATCTTTGTAATATTAAATAAACATATGACATTAACTGGCAAATCATATTCTGCTAAATTACACAGATTTTGATTCTGGGTTACTGCTGTATAAAAAACAATTTGCCAATTCCATGTGGGTCTATGGCATGTTTGATAAAACAAACATTCCTGTCCCACCTTGACAGCAGCTCCTTTGTCTGGTCGGTCAGTATGGAGCTGTCTGCTTTGACCATGACAGCAAGAGCAGACGTGACTCCAGCCTTCAGCAGCCTTTTCACTCTCTGATCAATAAAGTCCTTCTTGTCCTGAAAAAAGCAAGTATACAAAGTGTGTATATGCATGCATACAGCATATGTGTAGTTTCTGCTCTACCTATGTCAACTCATGTTTTGTGGTCTGCTGTCTGAGAGAATTGTTGTTGTTTTTTTTGCTCTTTTACCTTGGGATGTTGCTCAGGCACATGTTGCTTGGAGAACTTGGCTAGTTGAACCAGCTCCGGTATGATATCCTTCTTTTCGTAGCTGTTTGTGCAGTTCACCAGGATGCACGCTACAGAGTATAAGATTGTCTTATCCTTAGACTAAAAACACAGAGAAAGGAGAGAGATTATTTCTGATGTTTAACCAGGTTACTGTATGTTTCTTTTTGCCTGTTATTTTCATACCTTTGCCAGTTCGAACATGGCTTTCATTGCAATCTCATCCTCAACAAAGTCATCTTTCACATCAGCATCATTAGTCAGATAAGCAAGACCCTCAATAGCCCAATTCCTTGTTTTGGTATCAATTTGGGGATTGCAAAGCCACCTAGAAGAGTAAAAAAGGGAACATTTAAGAGGAAGTGTATTTAGTGATGAGGTGAAGTAGAAGGATTGCAAGGTACAATACAATTCTGGTACTGTATACCTATATATAATAACAACATTTGAATAATCAAAATTAGATAATAACAAATTAGGTGGATAACATTTAAAATATACTGATTCTAGTATCATAGTAGCATTTCTACATGTTTTCTGCACGCCACTATTTTTTCTATAATAATGGGGAATAATCTGGTAGAATCTTCAACAATCTGAATATACTCACTTTCTGCATTGCTTCGCCAGCTTCTCTGTGGAGCCCTCAGCAAACTGCCTTAAACTGTAATCATCACCTCCGGCTGAACCCAGTTTACAGAGACCCTGGAGAGGACATGGATAAGAGTATGCATACACATACCAACACAGACAAAATCTAGAGGTTGTAATAGTCTAAAATCAAAATGAACAACAGGACTTTTGTGCCCAGTGTAGTTGAGAAACCGTAGCTACTCAGTACTAACTTCGGACTATACTTCTAACAGATGTTTTCATAATGTGTTGTGTTGTTATTCTTTACTGTATGTGAGCTGTGGCCAAAAGCATTGAATAATAAAGTTAATCTTTTTTCCATTCTTTTCTGGGCACACTCACCACCAGCGAACGTATTTTAATCCTCTCATTCTTGGTCTTCTTGTAGATGTCCTTGAGCAGTGATACACCATTGGTGACGATGAAGCTGGCACGGCTCATCTTCGAGGAGGAATGGATCAGCGCCTCCACAGCAACCATCTGGTCCACCTCACGTTCAGAGCCACAAAGCGCCACCATCATCTCCATTATACCTTGATGTCCAACCAGAGCATTACCGACATCAAAGGGACCCTGAAGGAGACCTGAGATGGTGTTGATGGCATGAATGGTCTTGTCCATGTCGTTGGGGTCAATTTTAGCTCTGTGAAAAAGGAAGGGAAGACAAAGAAAAAAAAAAGTTATGTTGGTTGGGTTTTTAAACTCTTTGCAACACCAAAGAGCAATCTTTATTTTATTGACGTACTTGATATATTGATCACAAATGTCCCTGAAGTTGTCTCTCTCTGGGTCACATTTGAGGTCGTCATAGAGCTTGTTGAGGAGCACGCTGGCAATCAACTGTGTGTTATCTGTCAAGGGCAGCTGGTCTGGCAGTTCAGAAACCTGACCACACACCTTGAGGATCTTCTTTAGACCTGGAAAACAAACACATATATGCATATATCTCATTTCAGGGTGTCTGGGATGCAGCAATAGACTGTATCTCAAACCAAATAAGTGACCTGATGCAGCTGTCTGGCTCACCGTGGTCAATAGTGAAGAGGGTCCTGGAGTGGTCTTGATCTTTCTTGTTTTTGCGAGGTACATTCTTGCTCAAGAGGTTCAGCGCCTGGTCTCTGCCATGACCAGACACCTTCTTACTAGCAACCATCTCCAGCAGAGAGAGAAGAATGGTTTTCAGATCTTTAGACGCATCTGCAGAGGAACAGATGACATAAAACAATGTACCAGCAGCAGCATATGCACTGCCATTTCCCTTTTACACTCACAATTGAATACTGAATAAGTGTCCATAATGAAATCTATATTTTGCTAAATGTCTCACCTAAAACCAAGGCTTCTTCTTTCCCATATTCCCTTTTATCTCCACCAGTGAGGGAGTCGTTGATGCACTGGAAGAGGTTGCATGTTGCAAGTGCGATCTCCTCATTGTCAACGGCCATGATGCTGCACAGCTTATCAATACCCACCATGTTAACAATAGCCATGGCCTGTTTAAAGGTAGTAAAAATAAATATACAGTAAGTACATTTTGTGAGGAAAAATTAAATACGAATACTATAAAAACATATTTCAAATGGAATCACAGAGGTAGAGGTTATTCATTTTTGATTTTCTCCTTGCATTTGTCTTGACTCATTTTCTATGAGTTTACTCACTCGAGCTTTGTGTCCTGTGCACATTCCTGACAATGTGCGAATAGCAGCCAGGATCATCTCTGGTTTGCCTGTCTCAATCATGTTGAGCAGCAGAGGCACTCCGTTATTCTGGAAGATTCTCTCTGCTCCAGCATCCTCTCTTGACAGCACAATCAAGTTGTTGGCAGCCTTGAAATAAAAGGATAAGTAGCAGGAGTTAAACCACAATTTACATATATCCACATCCTAACAAATAATAAAAACAGCACGGTCAGAAAATACTCACTTTTTCTATCTTGTCTTTTTCCATTTCATCATCGAAGAGAATGTCAAACATATTTTGTACCCTTGAATCTGTGGAGAATGTTGTCTTGAGCTGTGGACAATCAAAATTAGGCTTTCATTATTTCCAGATGCTGACATGTTTCAATCATATACATGCATATTGTTTGTGGTCCATATGTCAATCTCTCTCAAAACATTTGTTTCTAATACCACAACATAAGAACAACTAATCATGATTTTCAGCCAAAAGATCACTGCTGATCTACTTGTAGCAGTGCTAATTTATTGTTGCTGAATGCATTTATGTAAAGTGGTTTGTGTAGTCCAACACTGTCCTGAGTAAACTTCTGTGTGTGGTTGTTTTGTTCTGTTTAGTGCTGACCTTGGCCTGGATGTCTGCTCCTAGCCTGCGGAGAGTCTCCAGGAAGGTCTTGTTCTTTGGTTCGATGGTGGCACATCTCTGCACATCCTTGAAAGCCATGTCCAGTTTCCCTAGCTTCTCCAGAGCTTGGCAACGCCGGTACAAGGCTTTAATATCGGCTGCATCAACATCAATCGCTATGTAAGAGGAAGAAAGAGACATAATGAGCTTGTGGTTTGTTTTTCCTATTTTTGGTGTGATTGCTGCTAATGTTTGGTTAGATTCTGTATTTGGTGTTTATTACTCTACCTTTAGATGCATCTGATGCTGCATTGGCATAGTTTTCCTGTAAGAAAAACAGAAACATCAAAATACAAGTCTAACTTTTCCTGAAGAAAATTTAAATATAATCCATTATCATAATCCATTATTATCTTTATTTTTGTGTTGCATTACCAAACTGCTTACCTTTTTTAGGTAGCATGCCGACCTGTTCCTGTAAATGACAGCAAGCACTTTTTTGTCATTGCACACTTTGATGGCGCTAGTGTAGCACTCAATGGCCTTGTCGAAGTCTCCTGCCTGGAAGTGTTTGTTTCCCTCGTCTTTTAATTGGATCGGCTCGCCCATCTGGTAGAGAGAGGGATCAGTTATGACATATAAAATCTACATTTTTTTATGTTTTTTTTCAAGAAAAATCCTAATTGACGGTCAACAGTTGTATTTTTCTTCACTTCTTCTGTCTGACAGTATCAGCCAAAGCACAATTTAACAATTTCAGTGTCATCAATTAATCAAATGCAAATGTAGTATTTTTACTGTAATAAAGCCACCAACACACAGAGTCACATATTCCAATCACATAAAGAGATTTCTGGACACAAACAAACAAAAACTAAGCTAAAGATTAAATCAGCTAAACAATTTTACACTTTTTTGTCATTACAATTACAGTACAGACCCCTATTTTACATCCACTTATAATCTGCCAGCATAATGATATTATTTTAAAATACTGTAGAATTAAAAATGCTTTATTCTCACCGTTGTTGCTAATCAGAGTCCTGCTGATCTGTGTCTCCTGGAGCAAATGGTCATGCACATGCTATCTCTAACTTTAAATGGCCTCCCCTCAGGCCTTATTTGGGCATTGTCTTGTACCCAAGTTAGAGCCTTGGAACAAATGCCACTTTCCCGATATACAGACACCATCTCCTCCTGCTCCCCTGATAGGCACAATCTATCCCCCACCGCGCTCTTATCCTAAGTACCCTCAGCTGAATGTCATACAAATTAAAAAAACATCTCTGTCGAAGCTGTACAATACCTTTAGGATTGTGTGTTGTATGTCTTGCTCTGCTTAGATGGTCTGAATCTTCAGTCCGTAGTGTTTGTTACAAACTTTACTTGTCTTCTTTAACCTTCCCCCACCAACTCCTCAATTTATATTTATAGTAGATCACCATGAGGTGGGGCAGAGCCAAGGTGGACCGTCCATCACACATAGGGGTTCACTCCAAACGCACTAAAACCCCAAAAAACAACTTTGTACCAAAGGTCACTGTAAACAATGATTACTTGTGTTGCAACAAATATCCTTCAGGTGTCTTTGAATTATCCAAGACTTTATGAATAAAATAGTTATTTTCCATTCAATAAACTCTGTGAGAGTGACCCCTTCAGAGATGGTCTACCCCTGATAAGGTCTATTTAGGGCACAGACAGCTGAGAACTCACCAGCAAATGCCTGTTGCCCAAGTGGCGAGAGGGGGGTTTAAAAGAGTGTGTGTGTATGCAGACAGTGGGGGGGCTGACAGCTGTAGGACCACAGAGGAACCTAGTAGCTTCTGGAAAGAGAATGATCTCGATCCCCATGAGTTGGAGTTGGGCATTTTTTTGTGATGTTAGGATAAGGGTCAGGGGTAAGACAATGCATTAAGGGTCCTCATAAGTACAAATTAAACCCAAATAAATTAATTTATCAATTTATCCACCTTTTTGAAATGAAGCTTACTCATCTATTTTCAGGATCAACTGTCAGTAGATGAGGGGAAAGTCAGTTTACCCACTTCTGTATTTACCACTACACCCAGGTTTCAGATGTGAGTGTTTGTGTCTGTGTATATAAAAAACCAAGAAAACAAACCCATAATGTGTGATACTGTGTATCAGTTATTTCATCTCAGTGGAGAGTTTTACTTTCTAATAGAAAATGAAAATAGGCAACAGGTGTTGTTTGGGTGTTGTCAGGTGAAAGTGCTTCTGGTTTCGGTTAGCCCTGCTTTTGGTATTGTACTGAGTCAGTAGATGTCTGGCTTAAGATAATCAATCTGATATCTGTTATTTAATTAAATCTTTTTAAATATGATGTGCATAAGTCCTCAGTGGAATAATTTGGGGTATAAGATTGTTTTTTTTTTATTCCTTCTGAGACATCTTCACACATACACACACACACATACAAAAAAATCTGTCCCTGAATTGGAGGAGGGAAGGGATAAACCCGTTTGTCTGCATCCTATGCGGACTTTAAGAGCCTTGATGCCACCAGGTGGCATAATCCATCTACTACAGTGACAATTGTAACAAGTTGGATTAATGTGTTAAATGTGCCACAGTGGTGAAAGAACGATTCAGATCTTTACAACTGAAATTCTCAAATTCATATTCATATTTTCTCAAATAGAAGGCTATCAGCAAATTGTAAGTAAGTAAGTATTGACAATCTGCAGGATAATAGATGTTGGTATAACATTAGTGATATATTAAGATATATTCTATTATAGCATTAATGATTACTGTGTGTTAATGTGTAAGCAGAATTTGAGAATTGTGCAGTTAGTAAAAGTGGAGCTGATTCTAATATCTACTTTACACACTGTTGGGTAGTTTATTCTATAACAACGCATTTTATGGGTTAGGATTTTTATGTAAAGTGTACATCTGTAAAGTAATAATACCTGTTCTTATATGTCCAAAAGACATAGAATAAGAGTAGTATAAGTATAAAGTAGCACAAACTGAATGATAAATAAACTGGAA